TATACATAACCCTGAATTGTACCCCACATCTTTAAAATAAAATGAATTAAAAAAATAAATATTTTCCCTCAAGTATAACTAATCTTTTGTCTTTTTTTACTTTTCCCCCTGCTGTACAGGTAAGAGATTAAATAGGATTGTTCATAATGTTTACAGAAATTCAGTTATTTTAAAGCATAGAATAAGATGTTATTTGATGATAGGATTATAAATTATAATATCGTAAAAATTAAAATTATATTTCATAACATTTTAGATTCAACAGCCATGGTTTTTAATTAATAGATTTAAATACGGTAAGAACTTAAGAGGGAATTGGTGGTATTGCCTCAGAAAATTTGAGTAAGTCAAAAGTCCAAAAGGATTATTTTTTACTCTTATTCTTAAAATTCCACATTGTCCTTGTTGATTTCATTGGCTAAATTGGTGGTTTTCTCTATGTTTTACAACAGACTTGCTGTGCAAGCTTCTAAACATACAACTTGCTAACATCTGGCCTATGGAATTGCATGTGCATATATGGATATTAAAAAAATGCACTTACAACCTTGATATTTCTCTTAGAACAAGAGTAGATAAACCATAAACCTTTTTATTATTTACGGTATTCCCTATATGTTAAGTAACCATGTTTTGAATCCATTATAACATCTAGTTAACTTCAAGGGAAGTCTAAAGATATTTAATAGCATTGTTTCACCATTTAGGAGTAAAAATATAGTTCTTGAACCTGGTCTAAGATGGGTGTTCTAATATTTGTGTCAAAATACTATTTCTTGTAACATGCCTATAAAGACCAAACTAATCTCTAGTAGATGCTGATATTTAAAAATGTTAAAATGGTCATAGTCAAGAGGTCGTTTCTTGTTTAGGAAGTAATGAAGTGTGCAAGAATTTGCCTGTACTCCTGATTAGCCTCCCAGTCTGCATCAAATATGGTCTTCCTCTCTCATCTCATAGAAAAGCTGGATAATCCTTGCAAAACCTAAATCCAATTATGCCATAACTCCTCTGAAAACCCCTTATTAAGGTTTCATTGCTCTGAATGAATACCACAGCATTTTATGAAAGGTCTTGCAAGGCCTAGCTCATAGTTGCTTTCTCAATTGTATTTATTACCACTTAGCCACTCACCTTTTTGGCTCTGCACACAGGTCCATTACCTTTAAGTGATAAAGTGTCAATGAACCTGCTGGAAAACTCTTCCTTCTGCTTCTCATCTATTTAGTGCTTACCATTCGTTCTTTGAATTTCTAATCCAGCATTGCTTCTTGGGAAATTCTTGTTCCTGGATTCTGCAACGAGCGCAAAGCCCTCAAACACACAGTATTAGAAGTAAATATTTATTCTTCATAATACCTGCCAGAAATATAATTTTATGCATTTATTTTGACATTTGCTTAGAGCCTGACTTACTGGAATATCCCATGAGGGCAGGGATTATGATAGCATAAAAATCATTATGGTTGGAAAGATTACATGGTTCCTGCTGGCACTTATTATATCTCAATGAATACTTTTTTAAAAGATTACCAAATGAATGAACTAAATTTCACTAAAAAGGGTATATAGATAACCAATATTATCCCACGTGTATCTTGACTCTCTAAAGAAATGGTTCTATGGAACAACATTCATTGCACTCAGTCCTTTCTGTGAATTGTTGAACAGAAGGAGTTGCATTTATCAAAAAACGCAAGCCTGGAGACCAAGACAGCTCTCTCTCCTGTCACTGACAGGATAAGTACCTTTTTGCTAGGGATCAAGTAATGGTACTTGGGCAGAAAGAGCACAGAATTGGGTCCAAGAGTTCCACGGTTTGTTCTAATGCTGTCTTTTACTTGTTCTAACTCTACCATAAATAAAAAAGTGATTTAGATAATATGTCCTGCTATGAATACATGATTATAGAAAATATGCCAGTTTTTTAAAATAAATATTATATTTAAGTGAAAATTCAGGTAGGCCACCAAGTCACAATGTTTTTTTGTTTGTTTGTTTTTAAATTTTTTTTATTTTAAATATGCGAGGTAGAATTCAGGGTTAGGTATGCAAATGTTCATTATGCAGGTACCCTAACCACAATGTTTTTTATCCAACATTTATGTATGCAAATTTTACCCATTTCACTATTTTGTCAGATTTTATTGATTACATGAAATTACCTGTCATGATAAAGAAAATAAATTGAGGTGTTGAACATAGAACCTGATACAAGAATTATCAAGAGCATTGGTTTGAATGTTGGAGAAACTGGGTTCCCATTCTTGTTTTCAAATGCACGTTCGTCATAGTTAAAATTATCTTGTTGTACAATAAGGACTTCTGTGAAGTGAACTTATTTTTTAGTTGCTCTCCATTCCATGTGCCAGGAATCTAGAGTGCTTTATAAGGGCTGTGAGTCTAGACTGAGCAAATTCAAGGACATCATGTAGAGAAACTGATTTCTATGCTGTGGCGCTTGAGGGATGTAACATATTACTATTAAAACTATGGCCAAAGTATTTAGATATCTGTTGCAAACCCAGAGGCCTATATTTTTGAATAAACTACATTTTCACAGAGCATGAATCACAGAGGTAAATGGGGTGCTTTCACTTGACCAAACACAGGATATTTCTGAGGGACTTCTGGCTTGGCATTGCCTTAGATCCTGCTCAAGATGCCCACTTGGAAAGGTGAAGAGATGAATAGAAGGAAGATGCAAATATTCTGTTCTATACCCATGCTATGAGATAGAAATGTAAGCAATCAGAAAGACAAATTTATCCAAAGCAAAGGAACTGATGGGGACATCTCTGAGGATTCCATGACAGGGCCTAGGAACAAAAGAACCATCTTTTAAAAATTATCTGCCAAAGCCCATGGAAAGCAATACCAAGTCATTGCCAGGCAAATAATAGTATTCAGATCCCGAAATTCTGTCTACTCATAACCCCAGAGGGCTCATAAAGAGCTCCACAACAAGAGGAGAATGGACAGAAATACTAGCAAGGAAAACAGAAAATAAGACCCCAATCTACTGTCTCACCTCTGCTCCATCTGGCATAGCCCATGCTATAAGAGACAAATAAATTTTTAAAAAATGAAGTTAATTTCTTTGTGATTATTTAGGACTGGGAGTATTGATGGATTGAGCTTTTTAGAATTTATTAATTGACAAATATATATATATATATCATATCCAAATTTGAAATTTGTATACATTGTAGAGTAACTAAATTGAGCTAATTCACAAATGCATTGCTTCACATACTTATCATTTTTTGTGATGAGAACACTTAAAATATATGCTTCCTAAACTATATGATTTTTTAAAATTCTGAGTGTGAACTTGAAACGTTATGTCTGCCTCAGATTTTATGTAGAGACAGGAAAATAAATAGTTCACAAAGCTGGTTTAGATGGGTCGTGGACCACTTAAACTACAAATATATGATAGTGTGATATTTTTTCCCAAAGAGGTATTCAACCTTGGTGTTGGTACTGAAAAGGCAAAGAATATAAGGAGTATAAGTGATTTGTGATTAAGGATAGGAGCAGAAGGACAGGTTTACTAGAGGGTTAAGGTATTGAGGGCATTGTATATTCTGGAAAAAAAAAATATATATATATATATATATTTGCAGCAATGTGCCACATGGCCTGGATAAGGCCACTAGTTCATTTTTATTATCTTACAAAATTCACAGAGAAGACATGCAATAACTTTTTAAAAAATATATCATATGTATGATAGTATGTGATGAAAGTTAAAGGCCTTCTAAGTTGAATACACATATTCTTTTGACTTATAGATTATGAATAAAGAATAGGGCAGAAAAAAGTTAATGCTATTTGATGCTTACAATATAGTAAGTAATAAAGTTGTCCCCAATAACAAATAATTTTGTTACTCTCTGTTCATCATGGAATTAAATAGAAAGATGTTGCCCATCGATCTTTATTTATTAAGGTCCTGGAGCTATTGTCTCTTACATTAAATAATAATTAGTCATTATGGAGCCAGACTTTTCCTCAAACAACTTGACTTAAAGGAATTCCCTGAGTGGGTCAAGCCAACAACAGAAGTAATGAGAAAATTTATTGCATAAAAAAACATATAACCTATTAGCTTGGTTGCCTAAACAGTGTTATAAAATAAAGAAAATGTTATACATTCAATTCCAATGGGAAATAGGAGCTTTTTCTTATGTTTTCATGCAAAATACAGCTGCTCATATAGTCACTCCGCTCACATCCTTCAAGTCAAAAGTAGACTGGTTGGAGAATCTATGAACCCCATTTGTAAAATCTGAATCATAGGTCCAAATGTAAGGCTAGCCAAAATGTTATTTTTAATATTATATACACATATGTCATATAAATACTTAGTAAAATATATTTTCATTGTTTGATAATGTCACAGGGAATATATTACTGATGCTGTATTAGTTACTATATTACTTCTCTCTAAGTAAAGTATCCTGAATATGTTGTATACTTTTATTTGAATTGCTTTTCCACAAACATTTTTCAATAGTTTTTGAAACAGACCACTGACATAAACTATAGTATATTGTCGCTTAAATCATGTCTCTATTTTCTGCATAACTACATTTTAAAAATTAAAAGTTTTAGCATCAATAAACATGCACGAAGTAATTAAAGATTTACAGATTTCTTATTACAAACTTTAGGAAATATATTCCTTTTGTTTTACTCACTTCATCACCTAAACAAAATAAAATCTTGGTTCTATTATCCTAAGATATAATTTAAAAGTGTATATTTTTACTTACTTTCATTGCTGTCTCAATGGTTATAAAATTGTTACAATATAGTTTATATTTATGTGCATGCATATAATTTTTTCATAAACCTCTCATATTACTTAATCTCTATTAGTATGGTATGCACTTGATGTCACATTTAAACTATTTTTGTACCAAAGAGTTGAGTTGATTTAATTGTATTTCTCTTAATAACTTACAAATGACCAATTTGTTGTTTTTTAACAGCTGAAGATGCTTGTGGAGGAACAATGAGAGGATCCAGTGGTATCATATCCAGTCCCAGTTTTCCTAATGAGTACCATAACAATGCTGATTGCACTTGGACCATTGTAGCAGAACCTGGGGACACAATTTCACTCATATTTACTGATTTCCAAATGGAAGAAAAATATGATTACTTAGAAATAGAAGGTTCTGAGCCACCTACAATATGGTAAGTAGATAGTTTCTATTAATGCAGCATTGGTGTCACTGTGAAACAAACTGGGGAACAATGAACAACTGTATGTGGACTTGTAATAGTCTGGACAGTTAAAATATTTTGTATTTATAGGAAAGTTATGAATAGGAAGTGGTCAGAGCTAAGGGAAGTTTTTGAGGATTGGGATAGTAAAATGGCAAATAGATTGAAATCTTTGCAAATGAGCTGTATTATTTTTATCACTTGTTTAGTGAAAAGTAATCTGCAACTTTATTATGAATGGTGTAAAAAATAAAAATTGTTCCTATTGTAATCTACAACTATATTTCTTAGAATGCCAGACCACACCTGGTAATTTCTCTCAAATTAACTGAATAATATTGGAAGTAATTTGCCTTTGTCTATGTAGACAGATCTTTTATGTACCCTGTCATCTGAAGGTGAAAATTAAACACCATCATCAGGGTGAATATGTTTTATTTTGTTTGTTTTGTTTTGTTTTGTTAGAGACTTAAGACAGTCAAAATGTGCTTTTGTGACATAATGCTTTTAAAGTAAAATGTTTATCTTATTTTTAAATGCTTCATCTAATGATATAATTGAATGGAGTATGATTTAGTAACTGATTGAAATAATGAATGATAAGATGACATTGATTAAGAGAAGGTATAGGTAGACACTAGAAAAAAAAGGACTTTGGGAAGTCCTTTCTTGGGAAGATTGGTCAAGAATAATGGGATTTTATGCAAAACAATTGCATGAAGAAATTTGGATTTCTTAATTATTCTTACTGAAATGTAGAGATTGATTTGAAGTGGGGCTCAATTTGCTGTATGAAGATTACTCAAGACATAATTGCAATAACCCAAGGAGGTATCATGATAGTTTGGATCAGGGTCATATTCATGAGATAAAGAAGTAGACTGAATTGAGAGACCTTTAAGAGATAATCAAAAGGACCCTGCAATTGATTTAGAGAGTGATAAAGGAGGTAGTATTAAAATAAAACCTGATTTTCTGACTTGAACAAATGGTGAAGGCAACTGTGATATTCACTGTGTTGAATTGTTGAAGAAAAGTCGAGTTTGGAGTGACAATTATAATTTTTTTGCATATTATGGTTTGAAAGCTCTTTGAGACATGCTACAAAGCCATGTAATAAATGACTGTATCTACTTATATGATTGAGGAACTTAGAGTAGAAACAGTACTTATATTTAGTATGAATTGATTGTAATTAAACCAATAGGCAATGGTATAATTGTAAATGTAGAGAACGGATAGAATGAGAAGATAAAGTGGGGCTAGGGCTGAATTTGAGGATCCACAGCATATAAGGACCAGGTTTAGAAGGATGGCACAACAAAAGAGACTGAGGAAATGTATTCAAAGGGGTAGGAGGAAACTTAGGAAACAAGGTCACATACAGACAAGATAAGAAGAGTGTGAAAAAGAAAGAAAAGACAGCACTGTGGACTGTTGCTGACAAGTCACTTAGTAAATGATTTTTTTAAAATCACAGTTTTTCTGGACTTCAGCAAAAGTACAAAGCATTTATTTTATCTTAAATCTTAGATAAGACAAAATTAACACCATTAGCTACATTCACTTTTTATTTTCCCCTCTCAATTTAGGTTCTCAATATTCTGGGTTATATAGTTTTAGCTATGCCCATGACAATCTCATACTGCAGTGCACTGAAACCCAGCAGAATCCTGTTTTACATGATAGAAAATGAAGATCTATTATTTTAGAAATTTTTACTTCTATAGTGATTCACATTTGCATTGTATCAAGGTAGACGATAATGTTATGATTTTTAAAATAATTATATTTTGATATATGAGTGATCCCATTAAAATGGCAGTTTTTAACTTGCCACCTATTTGACTACCAGATTTAATGAAGAAAAATAGAAACATTGTCTTGTAGCACGGGTTCCTTCATTTCCACTGAATTCTAGAAGCCAAATCTAACACAATTACTTTGAGAACCATAATATCTCCATTTGTTCATATAGTTACTTTCCTGATATGGATTAAACATTCCGAATAATGATTTGTACATTTTAAAAATCAATCTATGTTGTTAGAACAATATGGTTTATCCAATAACAGCATCAGATCCATACATTTGTCTTCTCAAACTCTGCCAATTTATTTGTTTTCCTCTTCTCCAAAAAACAAAATAGCACTAAGAAATTCATTGTCTGATTGTCTTTTAAAATTATGTTATAGTACATATTTAGGTAAACTTGTCAAAATCTTTGTTATGAAAGTCAACAATAAAGTCATTGTCATGTTTCAAGAAAGTGATACAAATGCTCAAGCTATATTCCTTTCCTATAAGTGCCAACTTAAATATACAAGATGTTGGTAAATTAATAATATTGTATGTCATCACCTAGACCATAAAAATTTCCTTTAAATGTATTAGTTACAGAAGTTATTATTAAATGATTTGTTAATAATTAAATTTAAAAAATTTTATATGTAATTTTGGCCCTCTAATCCCTTTAAATCCTTTAATGTTCTCATACCTTTTCAAAAATATTGTCATCAAAATGACACATTTTATTTCAGGTAGCATTAATTATATTAAGGGTTCTTCCTTATAAGTATGCACTGGTTGTGTAACATTTTTAATTCATAATATTATTCTAAAGAGAGGTGAAGAGGGAGACTTTCACATTCTTTTGATTAAAATTACAAAGTTTCCTTTGATTTCAGATCCCTCATTCAGCAACTGGGAACTTGTCACCAGCTACTATACATTATAGTTTTACTCCTGATGAATAGACAATGAGGCAAGGCTTCACGTAGCCTGTTTGACTTTGACAACACAGACTAAACCAGCCTAACAATAATGCTGCAAAAGGATATTAACATTTGACCAAAGCTCCCTTGCAAACTGTATATACTAAATTATTAGGTTCTTGTTTATTTTTTTAAAAATCCAGCATCATTGCATAATCCAACAAGAATGCAACAAATCCATTAATTATTACTTGATGCTAAAATGATATGAGACCCAATGAATTTCAACTAATTCCACTACAGTGAAATGAAAAATAACATTGCATAAATATGCCTGTGCTCTAGTTTCAGCTTTGACTCCTTGTTGATAGAGGACAATTGGTAAATCATGTGACATCCCTAGATCTCAGATTCCTCACTTATAACATTCATGCTTCTCTTATCTCTAATATTGTAAGGTACTATCTGCTTAGGTACTGTGACTGGAGAAAAGAGGTAAAAAATAACTAATTACTACTTTATTTACAAAGCCTTGGAAAGAGAGTTGAATCGGATATTCTTTGAAATTATTTCCAAACTTAATTTAGATTCTTACCAGAATTTATTTAATGTTGATTCAATACTTACTGAGGTGCTTATTACTTAACAGCATTGTCCTAAATGCTTCTGTGACTAAAGCAACAAAGAGGCATGCTCTTATAGAATCTATGCTCTGTCAGAAGAGAGAGACAATAAACAGTAATCAACACAAATAAGGTGCATACCACACTGTGAGAAGAAAAGGTGAAGTAGAGTAAGAGAGATAAGAAGAGCAAGAACATTGGGATGGGTGTGTAGACTAACTAATAGAGAAACAGATTTGAGCAAAGACTTGATGAATGTAAGGAAGTTGGCTAAGCAGATATCTTAGGGATGAGTATTCCAGGCAGAAATGACCTCTGAAGTGAAACACACAAAGCGGAGTGAGCCTACTGTGTTACAGGAATATCTAAGAAGCCATTATGGCTATAGAAGATTGATCATAGATGAAAGAAAGGATTAGAAGAGGAAGAGAATCAGTGAAGCCCAGCTCAATTTCCATCTTTGGCTATTACTATAGGTTAAATATGAAGTCATTGAAAAGTTTTGAGGACAATAGTGGCAGGATCAACTTTATCATTTAAAAACAGAACACTGCTGGGCTCAGTGGCTCAGCCTGTAATCCCGCACCTTTGGGAGGTTGAGGTGAGTGGATTGCCTGAGCCCGTGGGTTCGAGACCCGGC